GAAAATATAAAAAAATTATATTCTATTTTGATTTATTTGTTTGCTGATTTAAACACCTGATTTTGTTAAAAATAATAGAAAATTTTAATTTTAAATTGTTTGACTTAATTTCTACTCTCTCTTTCTCTTTTTTTTAAATTTTAAACATTTGGATCATGTTAATTTTTGTTGTTATGAAATCGAGCTGAAGAAAATAAAACTAACAATACACAACGATTACAATTATTATATAAATTTTTATTTTTCTGTTTGGCAGTGATGTTAATTTGATTATGTTTTCCTTTTTGATTATATTTCTTAAATATTTAAATTCATTTGCATAAATAACGTTTTTTTTATTTTCGTTACACTTGTTTTGAGTTTTTTTTTTATTCTTCTCTGCTATAACCACAACTTTTTCTTATTTTTCTTTTATATATACGTTTTTTTATTCTAAACATAATTTTGAATTTCTGATGTCCCTTTAATAATAAAAAAAATTAAATAAAATAAAATAAATCATTGTGCTTGTTAATTTTATTCTTCTTCCCTCCTGTTATCTAATAACAAAAATTACTTGTATCACAAATCACATTCATGCAACAAACCATAAACACGCATCAAAAAGCTTCCATTCCAGCCAACCATCCAACCATTCAGCCAGCCAGCCATTCAGGCTGTCTGCGCTCGTGCCTCATCTATTGTATTGTAAATATGTATATAAAAACATTTGTACTCCTGTGCCATTTACCATTAGGACAACCAACCAACAATCATTTCCCTCTTCATGTGTCCTTTTGTATTCTAATGATATATTATGCATAATCATTGTTTAACATTGCTATCATTTCATTTTATTCTATTCTTTACAATTTATTCGGTCTCATTTCACTGTCAATGTCTGGAATTTATAATCAACAGAAATATTATAGAAATACAAAAAATATATATATTTTGTATACCCTATACCACCATATTGAAATGTTTGTTTTTAATGTACTTTCTTTAAGTCAGATGGTCAGAACCCGTTTGTTGGCTACTTCAGTTCTAGTTCAGTTCTGGTTCAGTTCTAGTTCAGTTCTAGTTTAGTTCAGTTCTAGTTCAGTTCTAGTGCAGTTCTAGTTTAGTTCAGTTCTAGTTCAGTTCTAGTTCAGTTCTAGTTCAGTTCTAGTTCAGTTCTAGTTCAGTTCTAGTTCAGTTCTAGTTCAGTTCTAGTTCAGTTCTAGTTCAGTTCTAGTTCAGTTCTAGTTCAGTTCTAGTTCAGTTCTAGTTCAGTTCTAATTCAGTTCTAGTTCAGTTCTAGTTCAGTTCTAGTTCTAGTTCAGTTCTAGTTCAGTTCTAGTTCAGTTCTAGTTCAGTTCTAGTTCAGTCCTAGTTCAGTTCTAGTTCAGTTCTAGTTCAGTTCTAGTTCAGTTCTAGTTCAGTTCTAGTTTAGTTCTAGTTCAGTTCTAGTTTAGTTCTAGTTCAGTTCTAGTTCAGTTCTAGTTCAGTTCTAATTCAGTTCTAGTTCAGTTCTAGTTCTAGTTCAGTTCTAGTTCAGTTCTAGTTCAGTTCTAGTTCTAGTTCAGTTCTAGTTCTAGTTCAGTTCTAGTTCAGTTCTAGTTCAGTTCTAGTTCAGTTCTAATTCAGTTCTAGTTCAGTTCTAGTTCAGTTCTAGTTCTAGTTCAGTTCTAGTTCAGTTCTAGTTCAGTTCTAGTTCAGTCCTAGTTCAGTTCTAGTTCAGTTCTAGTTCAGTTCTAGTTCAGTTCTAGTTCAGTTCTAGTTTAGTTCTAGTTCAGTTCTAGTTCAGTTCTAGTTCAGTTCTAGTTCAGTTCTAGTTCAGTTCTAATTCAGTTCTAGTTCAGTTCTAGTTCTAGTTCAGTTCTAGTTCTAGTTCAGTTCTAGTTCTAGTTCAGTTCTAGTTCAGTTCTAGTTCAGTTCTAGTTCAGTTCTAGTTCAGTTCTAGTTCAGTTCTAGTTTAGTTCTAGTTCAGTTCTAGTTCAGTTCTAGTTCAGTTCTAGTTCAGTTCTAGTTCAGTTCTAGTTCAGTTCTAATTCAGTTCTAGTTCAGTTCTAGTTCTAGTTCAGTTCTAGTTCAGTTCTAGTTCTAGTTCATTTCTAGTTCTAGTTCAGTTCTAGTTCAGTTCTAGTTCAGTTCTAGTTCAGTTCTAGTTCAGTTCTAGTTCCAGTTCTAGTTCAGTTCTAGTTCAGTTCTAGTTCAGTTTCTAGTTCAGTTCTAGTTCAGTTCTAGTTCAGTTCTAGTTCAGTTCTAGTTCAGTTCTAGTTCAGTTCTAGTTCAGTTCTAGTTCAGTTCTAGTTAGTTCTAGTTCAGTTCTAGTTCAGTTCTAGTTCAGTTCTAGTTCAGTTCTAGTTCAGTTCTAATTCAGTTCTAGTTTCAGTTCTAGTTCTAGCTCAGTTCTAGTTCAGTTCTAGTTCTAGTTCAGTTCTAGTTCTAGTTCAGTTCTAGTTCAGTTCTAGTTCAGTTCTAGTTCAGTTCTAGTTCAGTTCTAGTTCAGTTCTAGTTCAGTTCTAGTTCAGTTCTAGTTCAGTTCTAGTTCAGTTCTAGTTCAGTTCTAGTTCAGTTCTAGTTCAGTTCTAGTTCAGTTCTAGTTCAGTTCTAGTTCAGTTCTAGTTCTAGTTCAGTTCTAGTTCAGTTCTAGTTCAGTTCTAGTTCAGTTCTAGTTCAGTTCTAGTTCAGTTCTAGTTCAGTTCTAGTTCAGTTCTAGTTCAGTTCTAGTTCAGTTCTAGTTCAGTTCTAGTTCAGTTCTAGTTCAGTTCTAGTTCAGTTCTAGTTCAGTTCTAGTTCAGTTCTAGTTCAGTTCTAGTTCAGTTCTAGTTCAGTTCTAGTTCAGTTCTAGTTCAGTTCTAGTTCAGTTCTAGTTCAGTTCTAGTTCAGTTCTAGTTCAGTTCTAGTTCAGTTCTAGTTCAGTTCTAGTTCAGTTCTAGTTCAGTTCTAGTTCAGTTCTAGTTCAGTTCTAGTTCAGTTCTAGTTTCAGTTCTAGTCAGTTCTAGTTCAGTTCTAGGTCAGTTCTAGTCTAGTTCGTAGTTCAGTTCTAGTTCAGTCTAGTTCAGTTCTAGTTCAGTTTCTAGTTCAGTTCTAGTCAGTTCTAGTTCAGTTTAGTCAGTTCTAGTTCAGTTCTAGTTCAGTTCTAGTTCAGTTCTAGTTCAGTTCTAGTTCCGTCTAGTTCAGTTCTAGTTCAGTTCTAGTTCAGTTCTAGTTCAGTTCTAGTTCAGTTCTAGTCAGTTCTAGTTCAGTTTCTAGTTCAGTTCTAGTTCAGTTCTAGTTCAGTTCTAGTTCAGTTCTAGTTCAGTTCTAGTTCAGTTCTAGTTCAGTTCTAGTTCAGTTCTAGTTCAGTTCTAGTTCAGTTCTAGTTCAGTTCTAGTTCAGTTCTAGTTCAGTTCTAGTTCAGTTCTAGTTCAGTTCTAGTTCAGTTCTAGTTCAGTTCTAGTTCAGTTCTAGTTCAGTTCTAGTTCAGTTCTAGTTCAGTTCTAGTTCAGTTCTAGTTCAGTTCTAGTTCAGTTCTAGTTCAGTTCTAGTTCAGTTCTAGTTCAGTTCTAGTTCAGTTCTAGTTCAGTTCTAGTTCAGTTCTAGTTCAGTTCTAGTTCAGTTCTAGTTCAGTTCTAGTTCAGTTCTAGTTCAGTTCTAGTTCAGTTCTAGTTCAGTTCTAGTTCAGTTCTAGTTCAGTTCTAGTTCAGTTCTAGTTCAGTTCTAGTTCAGTTCTAGTTCAGTTCTAGTTCAGTTCTAGTTCAGTTCTAGTTCAGTTCTAGTTCAGTTCTAGTTCAGTTCTAGTTCAGTTCTAGTTCAGTTCTAGTTCAGTTCTAGTTCAGTTCTAGTTCAGTTCTAGTTCAGTTCTAGTTCAGTTCTGGTTCAGTCTAGTTCAGTTCTAGTTCAGTTCTAGTTCAGTTCTAGTTCAGTTCTAGTTCAGTTCTAGTTCAGTTCTAGTTCAGTTCTAGTTCAGTTCTAGTTCAGTTCTAGTTCAGTTCTAGTTCAGTTCTAGTTCAGTTCTAGTTCAGTTCTAGTTCAGTTCTAGTTCAGTTCTAGTTCAGTTCTAGTTCAGTTCTAGTTCAGTTCTAGTTCAGTTCTAGTTCAGTTCTAGTTCAGTTCTAGTTCAGTTCTAGTTCAGTTCTAGTTCAGTTCTAGTTCAGTTCTAGTTCAGTTCTAGTTCAGTTCTAGTTCAATTCTAGTTCAGTTCTAGTTCAGTTCTAGTTCGACTGCTTGTCTTGTTCAGTATTTGTTGATATGGTTCTTAATTTCAGCTTTTCAGCTCCCACACAGTTCAATTACAAATTTGGGATGTGTTTTTGATACTGAGTATTATCGCCATATAAAGCATAGTTGTTCGTAATATCTTGTAAAGTGGTCTAAAGGTTTTAAAAATCTTCCAAAATACTTATGCTTCTTTAGGGTATAACACGGTCAGTTATGACCGTTTTTACTTTTCTTATTTCTTTTATCTTTTTCTGTCCTTTCCGCTCCTTTTATGCTTAATGTTGTTATTGTTGAGGAAAATGTCAAATGATGATTGCGTTTGTTTAAGGAATAAAAACATACAAGAATTTCCTAAAATGAAAGTAAGAAAGGAGTATTTACAATTAATAGGCTTTTAAAGGCAAAAAAGTAACTAAAAGCTTTAAGTTGAAGTTCTAAGCGAAAATTTAATTTAAAGAACTATTTTTGGCACTTTTTCAATTTTCTATGATATTGAGCGTAAAAAAATTAATATTTTGAGTTATCTAAAAGATCGGCTGTATCCGATTTTACTTCACTCTATATTTTTATTAATTATTAAATTCCTACATTGACTTACATATCTCACAGTTCTCTAATCTTTCACTATTTCTTTTTCGCCTTTCATTGTACAAATGAACTGTTATAACAACAACATCATTACAAAAATTCCAAATAAACAATTGCATCCAAAAAACAATTTAACAAATATTTAAAAAAACAAAATACTCTGAAAACCTATAAAAAACAAAACTGTTAGGCTGTCAGCGATTCTGATGAAGAAGAATCTGATGGATCTCCTACTCCTACTCAACAGTCAAAATCAACAGCACCAGTACCAGCCCAAGTAGCAGCCGTCAAGAAGACTACACGTTCCGGCAGCAGTGACTCAAGTGCTTCCACTGAAAGTTCAGCCAGTTCAGCAGCAGCTGCCGCTGGCCGGGCACCCTCAGCGGCTAGATTTTCAACAGCACGCGAGAGTCCAGCACGTAGCACAGCCAGTAGGCCGGCAGCCTCAACAGCTGCAAGCACTACTGCTACCACTGAAAAGAAACCATTTGTTAGCCGTTTCTTGCCACAACATAGTACACCAGCAGCCGACAAGAGCAAAGCCGAATCAGAGTCTAGTAGCGAAGAGGAAACATCTACGGAAGAGTCTGAAGATGAGGTCGATGACAAGCCTACAGCTAAGACCACAGTCAACAGTGTCAGCAAGCCCTCATCGAGTGCTGCTACATCTGGTGTATCGGCAGGAAGTTCAACCGCATCTTCGTATCGCGATCGTCTCGATTCGAGACGTAGTTCGCGCGATGATACGGGTTCGAAATCCTCCTCCAACTACGCTACACCTTCAAGCAGTGGCGCTAGCAGTGGTTACAGTGGTACTACCTCAACAACACGTCAGCGTCCAGTTCCTGCTTCACATCACGATACTGAAGATCGTTATGGCGGTAGCAGTGCCACCGGCAGCAGGTATTTAATACAATTTTACAATTTTCTTTATTATTTTTTGCGAATTTATTTTCAATTAAAAACCAATAATTATGTTAATTGGCTTGGTTAAGCTTTTGTATGCTCATTTTTTTATTATTTAAATATTATTTTTTTATTAATATTAAAGTGCAATGAATTTATAACTATTAATTAGTTCTACTTAATTAAAAAATTGTCTATTAATTTATATATATTTTTTTAAAAACACTAATTATTTATTAATACAATTTCCGCTTAAAATAATCCATAAACATGTTTATTAATAATTAAGTTATAATTTACCATATATTTACTAATAACTGTGACAGTGTGCAATATAGTTGAACAAAATAATAATAATAAAATATTATTGTATTTTAAAATTGCAAAACATCATAAATATGTCAACATTAAAGTCATTTAATTAATTTAAAAAAAGAACAGAAATAATATCAGTAGTATTTCTATGATTTAATAGTTGACGGGATCTTAAAGTTAAGGAGGATTTTTTGTCATTTCCGGCAGATAGTATTTGTTTGACCTTTAACCTTTTGTATCTTATGAAGATACTCAATATTATTGTTCCTAAAAGTTTTGATTTAAACGATATTATTTACAGCACTGTCAACTACTACATGTGGAGTGATCTTCTGTGATCTGGATAACATTTCTGTTCTTGTATTTTACATGAAATTTTATTAGAAAAAAAATTTACTTTTTATACCCACCATCATTGTCATTCCGTTTGTAACACATCGAAATACTGATCATAGACCCACAAAAGTACATATATTCTTATTAAATTCTAAGACGATCTAGACATGTCTGTTCGCCTGTCTCTTTCTTAATATATAGTCTAGTCTATAGTATAGTCTATAGTCTAGTCTATAGTATAGTCTATAGTCTAGTCTATAGTATAGTCTATAGTCTAGTCTATAGCATAGTCTATAGTCTAGTCTATAGTCTAGTCTACAGTCTAGTCTATAGTCTAGTCTATAGTCTAGTCTATAGTCTAGTCTATAGTCTAGTCTATAGTCTAGTCTATAGTCTAGTCTATAGTCTAGTCTATAGTCTAGTCTATAGTCTAGTCTATAGTCTAGTCTATAGTCTAGTCTAGTCTAGTCTATAGTCTAGTCTATAGTCTAGTCTATAGTCTAGTCTATAGTCTAGTCTATAGTCTAGTCTATAGTCTAGTCTATAGTCTAGTCTATAGTCTAGTCTATAGTCTAGTCTATAGTCTAGTCTATAGTCTAGTCTATAGTCTAGTCTATAGTCTAGTCTATAGTCTAGTCTATAGTCATAGTCTAGTCTATAGTCTAGTCTATAGTCTAGTCTATAGTATTTTTTGGAAAAAAATATATGTTTTTGAATAAAAGGAAAATATTTATCGAGGTCATGAAAATAGCAATTTGTTTGTGAGATGTTAGAAGCCAAATCTCTTAAATCCGAGTCATCTCGTTCTAGTTTGTAAATAAGAAAGTCTCTCGTTACTACGTCTGGAGAATAGGGCGGACGAGGGTGTTTTTAGTAACGTAATTAATGAATAATTCGTATTAATTGGCCAAATGCACTTCATGACTAGCCCACTCTATTACGTAATCTATTGACTAGTCTATTAACTAGTCCATTACTAGCCTGTGCACTAGTCCATTATCCAATGTCTGGACTATTCTATTAAGTAGACTAAGGACTAATTTATTAATTAGTCTATTGATTAGTCTATTGACTTTTCTATTAACTAGTCTATATACTAGACTGTTGACTAGACTATCGAAAAGTATATTAACTTTAAGTTAACTTATGTATGGGCTATTCTATTAACTAGTCTTTGGACTAGTCTATTAACTAGTATACTGACTAGTCTAATAGGTTGTATATGGTCAGATATATTAAATAATCTATTAACTATACTAAGGATTAGTCTATAAACTTGTCTAAGGGCTGACTAATCTGTGGACTAGTTTAAAGACTAGTTTATGGACTAGTCCATTGGCTATTCTATGGACTAGACTATGAGTTGGTCTATTGACTACTCTATACACTGAATGAGTATATTAATGGACATTTCTATTGACTAGACTAGTAACTAATCAATTTAATGGTGTATGTACTAGTCTACTAACTATTCTATGGACTAGTCATTGGTCTAACCCATTAACTAATGCATGGACTAGTCTAACTATACATTAACTTATGTATGGACTGTTCTATTAAGTAGTCTATGGACTAGTCTATTCACTAGTCTAAATTGTGTATGGATTAGTCAACAGACTAGTTTATTGACTAATATATAGATTAGTTTATATATTAGTCTATTGACTACTCTGTGGACTAGACTATCAGCTGGTCTATTGACTAGTCTATGTACTGAGCAAGTATATTGACTTGTCTGTGTACTATTCTATTGACTAGCCTAGTGATTAGCCTATGGACTAGTATGTTGACTAGTCTATTCCCTAGTCTATCGACTAGTATGTTAACTAGTCTATCGACTAGCCCCTTAACTAATTTATGGATTTTTCTATTAAAAAGTCTATGGACAAATCTACGGACTAGTATATTAACTATTTTATGGACTAGTATAGTAACTAGTCCATTGAATAGTCTATTAACTAGTCTCTGGATTAGCTTATTAACTAATGTATGGACTATTAACTTGCCCATTAGACTAGTCTGTAGACTAGTATTGACTAGTCTATTTAATCTACTGTGTTCTATGGACTAGTCTATGAACCAATCGCGATATTTTGCGATGTCACAAAATGTACTGAAATCGAAGAAATAGTATTAACTTTTCCATACCTGGTCTAAACTGTACTTGAGGTTTTTGTGTGGAAGCGCATAATATCCACTCGATTATAGTGATGCATGATCTCCTAATAAAATCCGAAATTAGTATGTTTATACTTACAGATCCCTTGAACGAATGAAAGTTTCCACCTTAGCCCCAGCATGTTGGAACTAATGCTCGTTATTTCGTTATGTATAAAATTCATATGATATCATAATTTTTTAATATTTCTATTATTTAAATCATTAATTGTATATATAAAAATAATCATCAGCTGAAGAAAAACATGTTTAAATAATTATTTTTCTGGGTGTATTTATAGCAGCCTCACATATCTGCGTAATATAGGATTTAACATTTTGGCACTTGTGTTCTTTGTTCGTGTCGTTTTGCGCATACTCGTCAAATTTTTAACATTTTCATAAATCAAATAAAAAAACAAAAATTTAAATTAAAAAAAAAAATTACAAAAAAACGCCGACTAAATTAATTGACTGTAAAAAATCTTAAAAAAAAATAAACTCATCCATTATCAAAAACACAAATAAATTAAGCCAATCACTGCAAAAAAATAAAAAAAAAAACAAAATAAATAATAACTGCCACATAATACTTTAATGTTTTTACAAACGACAAAAAAATAATAATAATAATAACAAAACTGAAATATGGTACCCAATTTAAATTCATTATAAATCGGTCACTACACTCCGTCATTTATATATTTTCAAACAATTAATATTAATCAATCAAACAGTGAATATATTTTGTATTTAAATTGTATGAATGAATGTCTCAAATCAAATCAATCAAGCAATCAATCAAAATCAGTATAAAAATTTCTTTTTCAAAACAAGTATCACAATCATAAGCTGAAAGCGTCTAGGTAAATAAATGCAACCAAATTATTTGTTTTCTTTTTGTATAAATTTTATTTTTTTCTTTCTATTATTTTGCTTAAGTTGGCAATTTAACAAGCAAAAAAAAATATATATGAAAAAAAAGTTATTTGATCATAATACCTTTAAAATTAAGAGCAAATTTATGTTTGACACACTCATGCAAATAAATATAAGGTAGCAAGGGGCGATACAAATATAAAGCATTTCAATGGAATTACAAATTACTTTCTAATCTAATTTACCATGACCATATGCCCCTTGTAGTGCAGCAGAACAGATTTTCTGGTTTAAATCGAACTAAAACTTCCAGACTGATAGGTTAGCACACTACCAACTACCCTATCGAGGCACCCAACATTTGTAGCACTTTTAAAGGAAATCTACGCTACATAGTTGTTATTTTCTGTTGAAAATATTTATATGAATTTTTATACCTTAAGGCCTCTGCTCAAATGTGTTCTGTGAAGAAATTCAATTGGCTTTGCCTATAAAAAATCAGATAAATTTTATTGGCATGAGTATAAAAATAGCTTGTTCCCTGATAGTTATCAGTCTTGTTGACCCTTAACAGCGGGGTAGAGATTTTTGGACCGTCTAGTCCAAGAGATGTACAATGAAAATCTTATATAGTGAAGCAGTAACCGATTCTCCTATTGAAAACAACTACATCATCCAAATAGTAGACGAATTGAGCGACCCATCCGTCGATTTTTTCCGAAACCGCTCCTAAGGGTATAAAAAAGCTTTTTTCAATTTGCGAATTATTTCCGTTCCAAGACGAGTCATGATTGTGTAGATAGTTATTTAGTTAGTTAGTTAGTTAGATAGATAGTTAGTTAGTAGATTAGTTAGTTAGTAGTTTTAGTTAAGTTAGTTAGTTAGTTAGTAGTTAGTAGTTAGTTAGTAGTTAGTTAGTATAGTTAGTTAGTTAGTTAGTTAGTTAGTTAGTTAGTTAGTTTAGTTAGTTAGTAGTTAGTTAGTTAGTTAGTTAGTTAGTTAGTGTAGGTTAGTTAGTTAGTTAGTTAGTAGTTAGTTAGTTAGTTAGTTAGTTAGTTAGCTTAGTTAGTTAGTTAGTTAGTTAGTTAGTAGTTAGTTAGTAGTTAGTAGTTAGTTAGTTAGTTAGTTAGTTAGTTAGTAGTAGTTAGTTAGTTAGTAGTAGTTAGTTAGTTAGTTAGTGTTAGTTAGTTAGTTAGTTAGTTAGTTAGTTAGTTAGTTAGTTAGTTAGTTAGTAGTAGTTAGTATTAGTTAGTTAGTAGTTAGTTAGTTAGTTAGTTAGTTAGTTAGTTAGTTAGTTAGTTAGTTAGTTA